ACTACTCCGTGACGTCATACTGCCGCGGTAATCAGGTTTAGGCATACGTACGTTGCTAATAAATGGTACTGGTATGAATACCCTTCTATATAATAACTTTATCAATATTTTTTAAACAAAAAGCATAAATGAAAATTTATAGGTAAATGCTTTAATTAGGTGGCAAATATTCTTTATTATTTTTGATAACAATTTTCCAATTACTACGCAGCGACCAACTGTTTATGACGGGTCATTAACTAGAACGTTGCAACACCGTAGTCTCAATATCATGCATATTCTTTTGTTGTTATAAACCATTCATAGTCCTTAATATTTTTTTAAAGACAAATAATGGTAAACTGTCGCTTACATCAGAGACATGGGTCATGCTTGCGTGATAACTAAGGAAAACTAACTTATAATTTAAGTACACCTTAGGAGGCTGTACGCGGAAAACGCTCATAAACCGCTATATCATATAGCTGTTAGTAAATATTTTGCATACATTTAACTAAAAAATTCACTAATGGTGATGAACATATAGTTTGAAAACATTATATTCTTAAACCATGTATCGCCGAAAAAAACTATTTAACTACAAAATCCGTAAGGACCCTCAGACAAAATTTCACCACAAGATTACATTTAATATTAGCAAAATAAAAAAAGCAATACTTATATTTTCATCTTCATAATTCATTAATCAAACTTTTAACATAAATATATCTTTTAAAAATATGTCTGGCAATTGACAGATCCCTACTCTGATCTTTTATTTGTAAAGGAATAAATTTAAACATGTGCTCTTTTGTTTAGGAATATTTTGTAGTGAAAGTCTTAGTTTAAACATAGTTTATTTCAAACAATGATACAAGTACATCATGTTGTTAATTCATTTACAATAATTAGATACACGAATGAAAAAGGATTAGAGCCGAAAGCTATAGAGCTTATAAAGGTCTTTTCCTAATGAAAGTCTTAATTAATATATCCACTAATCTCATAATTAGAATTAGACAGGTCAGGGATTTATACAACCAGTTTTTTAGTTATCTACGCTCATTTTAATCCCAATAGAAACATTCAAATATTTGGGGTAAAAAACATGACCAAAGTACCTAGTAGTCGTTTACCCGGTTGTGATCCCATTAAACTGATTATAGATTCGAATAGAAAACACAAATAGAAACGTGTTTCGGTACAACAAAAATCGGAAGTAAAGCGAACAGTTAAATGACAGAAATATGTGGTCAAATATGTTTTAACAAGGAAATAATTATTTCAGAGAAAGACGCAAAGATCAGTCTTCAATCAAATGAATGACCCTGTATTGTGTAATTAGAAAGTTCAATTCTAGGGCAACGAATCATAATTTGATAGTCCATGTGTAATAAAATTTTCAATACAGATTATGAGATACATAAAAATATTAAAGAATAAGAAGCTTTAAAAACAAAAAAACAAAAAAAACGCATATATATACGAATGACTTACAGTCGAGCATCGGAAATTCATCAACATATCTTACGAAATTTTAATTTGAAAACGATATTTGCGCGCGCTGAAGTGATTAATGTTTATTTGAATAAATCAAATAAAAAGAACTTATATGTTTGTGTTCTAAAAATAATTGGCGGCATAAGACGAATTTTGTTTTCATTTTACAACACTTGAAAAATTACTACAGAAAATATGTTGTTGTTTTTTTGTTTTTTTGGTTTTTTTTCAACAAAAGTGTGTGTGTTTTAAGTTCATTTATTCTCGGCGCCGGAATAACCATATGTCCGAGATTATAGCATCGGGGACGTCTTTTTCAAGCAGAATCTTCCTGGTAGCCCATTCTTCGTTCGTTAGTGGTAAAGGAGACGACAGTACTGTCAAGGCATCAACTTCCTGACTGACGACAACAAAAACGGCATTCATTAGCGCCAAACCTCCAGAGTAAGTTACGACAGGTCAACCAATCACCTCTGGTACTTGAGATGACTTGACCTTGACCTGCCGTGTGCCTTCTCCGCGACGTGCATACCTCTGGAGGGATTTGGAGAAGTTTCAACAAAAACCTCCAAAACACGCTATTTATAACACCATTCATAGCACTGACGCTTCGATGTTCTCATCTATTTGCGGGAAATGGTCGACAAGGAAAACCCTACGTAATAACCGCACACCCTGTTAACAACAGATTTTCCGCAGTATATATTTCAAGCTAGTGAGGTTTAAAATCTATCGATTAACTACCATAAGTTGGTTGAGTGTTGGCGGTAAAAAAAAGAAGATATAACTTCCTGATCAATTTTCACTTAGGTTGATTCAATTTTGAATAAGCTTTGCAGATCTGTATTTTTTCAAGAAATATTTAGCTTTAATATTATCCGAAGCCGTCAAAGTCAGCGACGAGTAATGAAATCACAGGTGGCAGTATCAGTGTTTGGACACCCCACCCCTATCTGCCCCTGGACCCCTACTACAACCCTGAAAAAAAAATCAACACTCTAAGGCTTACTATAAGGTACCAAATACAAAACCACCGATGAAATTATATAAAAAAAAAAATAAATTTTATAACTATAATTTTGATAGCGGAAAAAAATTTTTTTATATAATTTCATCGGTGGTTTTGTATTTGGTACCTTATAGTAAGCCTTAGAGTGTTGAATTTTTTTTTCAGGGTTGTAGTAGGGGTCCAGGGGCAGATAGGGGTGGGGTGTCCAAACACTGATACTGCCACCTGTGAATGAAATGGGAATAATTTTCTGAAACGTGATTTTATTCGAGATTTGCTTCGGGAGAAGACAACTTTCTGTCCGTAGAGCACGAATATTAATACTCATCACAAGACAGTGTCTTATTGATCTCAATTATGGTACATGTAAATATATATGTATAATTTTCATGTTCAATTAAAATGTTGCTTAACTTGCAGTTGTTATTATCATTCAATGATATTAAAATGACATAATTTTTTTTATGATGAACAGTCCTAGACTATTTTGATAAGGAACCGTCAGTTGTAAAATGGTATTTTGATCTTATAATGAACAGTCGTCATACCTGCTGGTATGTCATTTATAAATTTCAAAATTTGCATGATTAACAGTCCGAATGTAGACCTCAATGAAATGTTCTGGAATATTAACAAAATAAATAGTCAACCATATTAACCATATATATGAATGGTTGAACGATAAATGGCGCAATGTGCATATATCTTCTTATTTAACAGCACATTTTAAGCAAAAAGAAAAGAAACTATAAGTCTGAAACATTCTGTCATAGCCTCCCCATCAGTACATTCAGTGCTTTGATTTATTATATTTGTTGCATCCAAGTATACACTCATAAACTCAAACATCAACTAAACATACACACAGTAATAATAACGATATTTGATATTAAAGGCGTGGCTTATTATATCTTGTAGACTTGCTTACTACAGTCTGCCCATTTGATTGTACGGTGGTGTAATAATAATAATAATAATAATAATAATAATAATAATAATAATAATAATAATAACACTCTTTATTTAACGAAGGTAACTTATTAAGACAATACATCTAAGCATAAGATACAACACATATTATGCAAAGTCTTATTTTCAACAAGGCCTTCAATAAAACATAAACATTCAAGCAATTGTAAAGATTACAACTTTCAGTAAATCTTAATCAACAAAGAAGACAGACATTATATTATATTACAGTATAGGTAAATTTTCTATAATCTTTAGATAATAATAAATGTTTGAAATGTGATTTAAACAATTTAAGACTTGAAAAATTTCTTATTTTTAGAGGAATAGTGTTCCATAACTCCATACTAGAATAATAAAAAGTACGTTTCAAATAATTTGTTTTAAGCTTATGCATAATGTCTTTTTTATGGGTTGATCTTAGTAAGTAATTTTTATTTTGAGATAACGGAATTAGATTAGAAATATATGCTGGCGTTAATTTATTCATCGCTTAATTTATATACCATATATACCATGTGAGTATAGAAAGTACTTTTAAAGAGACCACTTATTAATCATAGATTCCCCCTCCTTTGTATATGATGTAGGGACGGCAAAAACGAAGATGGGGACTATGCTTTTGAAAACAACGCCAGAATTGTTTGGTTAGACCGCGTTTCTTAAAAATACGTTTTCCACTTTGCTTAGTTATTCACAAAGCAAATCCAGATAGGAGACCAATGGTAAATGGAAAGCCCCTTTTAGCCATACATTCAATCTTAGATACCAAAATTTCTTTTTCACGGTTTTGTTCCGCCCATCATGTTGATTCTTTCTTGACACGATCGGCTTAAATGTCATTCAAGGAACGTTAAATGTCTTCGCAGCTTTCAATAGATTCATACATCAGGACAGATCCTGCAACAATTTTAATTTTGCTGTTTTTGGGCTTTGAGTGGAACCTTATTCGCAAATGTGACACAATAGATTTCGTAGCAAAATATGGGGTCCGTAAGTCGTCGATAGAGTCCCAGACTTTACCTTTATTTTAGAGTTTTTTAACGATTTCTAATAAAGAGAGACAAATCCTACAAGTAAAATTTGCCAGAACATTTACACATAAACATCATCCATAAAGTCATAATCCTTGTCATACATGATAAGAGTGATGACAAAGAACAATAAATCGACAAACATAAACTTAATGGGTAATATGAGAGAAGCATAAACATGCCTATCAAAATATAATAATTTGGCATGATTCTTTTTTGTTGCATAGCTTATGTACGGGGAGTTTTACTAAATCGAAACAATATGCCGCAAAAAATCCTAATGCCGTTGTATAAACATAATTTTAGAGGGCTTGTTTCATTGGCTGGCTAAATTTAGAAGTACAGATTGATTGAACGTGAAAATGTCCGAAAAAGGTAAGCCTAATTTTGTGCATTTTGTCAAGTGTTTAAGCTATTTTTAATGTGCATGACTTGTTGAATATTAATTTCAATGTATAAGCTTTATTATTTGGATTAAAAATGACAGAAAAATTGAATGACAATGTTACAAGCGTATCAGAAATATGCTCGTTTTCATTGACGTGCACAGTTTCATCACTGTCAGAACAAGCGTTTCTTCACGCTGAACAGTGACCCTGACCTCATAGTTGTGGCCTAAACCGAAACTAGAAATGTCATTGAAAGGTTACAGCATCCCTTTAATTTATATTCTCTTTATAAATTTATTATGTATATCATGATAAACTAAACATGAATTTTCTATTTTGTATCTGAATGGAAACATTTAAAATACATGCATAGCTAAGTTATGCCACGCCCCCTCCCATGTCTAAAAACCATTTGCAATTTTATTGTTTAGTCAGTGATTAGGAATGAAATTAAGGTCTAAGAAAAACAATATGACTGTCAAGTGCTCTTTCAAAAATTTCAATTTGAATGGTTATTTCCATGGACAGTACCAGTACCCAAACATTTCAAACATTGAATTGTTCATATCATCGGGTCATGTGTTTTGACGCTCATCTATTTTGACGCCATTTTTGTTTTGACCTAAAAAATGACGAAAACGACCTCGTATGACGTCATAATTTGCTGACTGCACTGCAAGCATGTATTTACAACGTATAACTAAAACATGTGGAAAGACAGAGATATTTCACTGAAAATACTTCACCTTTATCATATGTACTGTATTTTTTCATCTTTTTACTAATGCAAATTCAATTGATGTTTATGCAAGCCATAATTTTGCAAATATAGCCTTTGTGAAATTTTGACCTGCCCTTTTCTGTTTCTATCCTCCATTTTAAAATGTCTAATGAGTGTCATGTGACTAAAACTTTGCAAAGTGTCCTTAATATTCACTGTATCATAAAGGTGTACAGCTTATATTGTTTTGAAAACGTTAATTGGTTTTTAATTGATACTGAGTAAAATTCATAATGGATTAATTATTGTATATAAGTTTAAAAAAAGAAAGAAAAAAATCATTTTTCAAATAAACATATACATATCTTTACAACAGCATTCATTTTAGATATATTTTTCAGCCCTTTAAGCCAAATACAGATGCTATTCATCAAGATTAATGGTAAATACATTCAAGGTTAAAGAGACAGGTGCACCTAATAAGACCACTGCCAGGGTGTATGACATTCCTAAATAATGGATAGTTTTATATGAAATATATTATAATTTTAAGTTTTCACGATGTTGTTACATTGCAGGTTTGCTCATTTAAAAACTTCTTTTGCTGTTCATACTTCATTACAGTGAAATATCCTTTTAAAATAACCACCCAATGAAAAGGCGTCATTTCATATGACTGTAAACAACAATGGATGCCTCCACAGTCTGTTTAGTTAAGTACAAAACTTAACTGATTTTGAATTTTAACAAACATAAAAATGGTTTGCAGTGATTAACAACATGCCATAGTTAGGCCATTATTTTTTTATATTTCGGTTTACTGACCCGCCGACTCCGTATTTTGGGAAAATGAAAAAAAAAATCTGCCCCCAAAAAATTTTGTGTTGTCTTGAAATACGCCGCTAATAAAGTTAAGATGTTTGTTAATATTCTATCAGGATATATATATATCTCATCTTACGACTTTTCAAACAAACGTCGGTAATAATTATGAAATAATGTCTGTTAAATGGGTCAAGCCATTCTCACAGAATTATAATGAGGCTTTGATCATATTTCATCAATACAATTAAGGTGTCCAAATGCGTAAAAATGTCAAAGTAAACAACTTCAAAAAAAAAAAAAAAAAAAAACACGCCAAAATTACGTAAGCAGTTACATTCAAGGACAGAGCAAGAGAAATCTGATGCAATTGACAAGATCAGTATTTTCAGATTTAACAAAAAAAAATAGTCTTTAAAAGCAGATTGAATACAGGTTTTCAAACAAACAAAATTTAAAAATGCACTTACTTTTAATAGATTTTTATGTCAATAATTGACCCGCTAATTATCCGACAAAAAATATTTTCACATCGGGCAATATTAAAATTGAACATGTGTAATCTTTTCTTGACAGTTTTTTTTTTAACTGAGTGCAAGTCAGCTGAGTTTCGGCACCTTTGATGATTCAGATTACACAGCAGTGTGTAAACATCAAAGAATGACAGATTCTTTTGAAGGGCTGGCTTGCCACTTGTCATTAGTCATCGTGTGTAGATTTCATGTGTGTTTTTTAAACAATGGCAATGTGAGCAAATTTTTTTGTGTGTATTTAGACAATCTTTGGAATAGACAATCGGCGATCGATGTATTTAATTTCATTGCTCTGGTAAGTACTATGTATATGTATGCACCACATTTAAAGTTATGAAAACCTTTTTTTTTTTCTTTTTTTTTCCCGCCGCCGACCCAACCTTTTTTTGGAAAAAATCAGTAAACCAAAATATAAAAAAAAAATGGCCTTACTTTATATTGTATATTATTTAATGATCAGGTTCAATATAAAGAAATGCACTAGTTAAACAGCTTAAGGGCGTCAAAACTAATGACTCTAGGATACCTACTGGGCATGTAGTCAAAATATATTGACGTGCCAAAGCTTGATTCTGAGATATTTTCGTTCTGGGGCAGAATCTCGCTTTAACGTCAAAACCAAAAGGAGACCTTTCTGTGGTGAAACGTGGATTTCGATGTAAATGTGAAAATGCAGACAATTTAAACAAAGAATTTATTCAACAATACAATTTTAAGGAATTAACAGCACAAAAAGTGCCAGACTATCAACTTAGAATAAAGTAAACCACGTTAGTTTCATTTCACCGTCTCATTTGTGTAACAACGCCGCCATATTGTGATGTTGCTACAGTAATGTAACATGTACGCTAAAAATCGATATTGTTCGGTACCGTGCGTGAATGTTGTCATTTTCTTTTGCGTGGCTAAAAAAATATGTAAAACTATTAAAAAGTGGATTTTTTTCTTAAATGATGTTATTATTAATTATATTTATTGCTACAATAAAATAAATCGCCAGGAAATTATCTTTAAATATTTTTGTAATTCATGATAGAAATCTTTAAAATGATGCGGGGGAACTTTTAATTTAGTCCTCTTTTTTATAAATATGTTTATTAAAGGTTAAGGATAAACAAAATACTGTATTTCATTAAAATGTAAATTGTCATCACTCTGTAGTATTATCTATGTTAGTATAATTATGTTAGTCACAACTTGCTGAGTATTAAAAACAGCAAATCCTTGCCTATAGGAAAGTTTTGTTTTTCAACGTGCATTACGCTATGAAAGAATTCAAATGGTAAATTCTTGCGTTAATGTTTCATTCCTCAACTGTTTTCAGAAAAATAAAACTCTTTACTCCGAGCACCCATTTTTCGTTTGTCTGTATCTGAAAGAACCTGTGTACATGTACCATTTATCCGTGTAATAAAAGACTGTTATCATAGCATGCCGTAATGGCCTGGATATTTGGTGTTGTTTAAGCGATGTTCCAGAAAAGTTTTGCAGAAAAGTTTTGTCCCGGTATAGAAAATATATTCAACCTAATATTTATTTTTAAAATGTGTCAACTACATGTATTCCACAACGCCGACACCGGTACACTGGCCAATATACACTTCGGAAATGTTGACACTATTAATAATTGATGCGCAGTCCTGTTTCTTCCTTACTTAATTTCTTTGTGTCAACTATAAATTTATAAGATTAAGTTTTAAATGAATAAATTAGATTTTTTTAAATTCGAGCCGTGATTCCTTTCCGGAATCAGTTAAACAATTTTCCATGCTGACACGGTTCAAATTGAGAAGAAGTTATTTTTAGATTGTCTTAGTTACATGTATTTATTTTTCAATTTATAATTATAAATATACTTGATGATTTATTTCAAAGACGATAATTTTATGCTTAAATTACTTTCTATAATACATTTATGAAAGTTGTTTAAACGGTGTAAAGAATTTAAATGTGTTATGGTCCCGAGTTTCCTCAGTACATTTTCCCGGCTTACCAATACACTTTGAATTTATGCAAGATATGCCAACTTTTTAAGTTTTGAGTTGTGGCATTTAATTATTAGGAACTTTATTTCTGGTTTTCTTTCTAAATTTACTGGAAGGTTAAAATCTTAATTTTTGTTCTTTATCAAAAACTCAAAAAAAATAAATAAATATAGAAACAAGAGCTGAGGAGGCGCCGTGATTTATTACCGATTTTATTAGTTCGTTTTCCAAAGCAACACCTTTTATATTTGGGCAGTAACAATCTGTATCATAGTATGTTTAAAATGAGTAATAGTGTTGAATAACCCTTAAATCTTATAAGATTGGACAAGAATCAAAGAAATCACAGACGCTTGGGGTGTGAAGCTAAAAACGCCTTTAAAATCCAAATAAAATGTATATGGAGCCACGTTTGAATTTGTCGAAAGATTTTGTAGATGGAGTAAAACGGCGATAATCTCGATTTTTATTTTGCCAGTTGCGTTGTTTATATTACCGTTGAAGTTTAAAATTGACCATCATCTTGAAGATTTATATCTTTTGTGTCGATGGACGAAAGGATTTTGTGAAAATATTGGAAACAGAATAAAATACATGGTGTTTTTGACGACAGGTGTGCGGATTTTTTCCGGCGAACATTTTTATCTTGTGTAATATTATAGACGTTGAAATATATTTTTTTTTTCAAAACGGCTTATATTTAGTTTTTTTATATATATATGATCAGTACATGTGCTGGTATTGACAAATATACATTTTATTTGGATTTTAAAGCTCCACACCCAAAGTGTCTGTGAAAGAAATTAGCGGTGCAGCGTTTTGTTTATGTAACATGGTAAAATAACCGCGTTGATTCTTCAAATCTCACCTCGCCATGCATGTATTTTATAAAAGAAAATAATTTCTTAGCATAAAAGTCAATTGTATGGGATAAATATTTACTGTATACCAACATTATGAAAGTCTTTTGCAAAACAAAACAAAAAACAATAACAACAGCAAAATAAGACGGGGGCACCTGTTTCATGAAATAAATTTCCGAGTATTTTTTCTCTGCTACATGTACCCCGGTCATTTTAAAACAATTTTCATACCTTCGTTTGTGTGTGTCTTTTTCTTTCTAAAAAACATCTTCTGAAAGCTTTTTGGATAAAACTATCCAGAATTATGGGCCTGCGTGGATAAGATATAAAAA